TCAGCATGGACATTGTTATGCCTTTGGGAATAACCACACTCCTTCCTTGCTTGAACTTCCTTTTTCCTTTTGGCGTTTCATGACCTTCCATGTCTTATCTGAGTAGCCACCCCCTTGGGTGTGGTGGGGATGTGTGATTTAGACCCCAGAAACTCCACACTCTGCCAGCCTTCCTAGGATTCTCTTTGAGCTGCCTGAGTCCTTTGCCCACACCTGACAGGGCATTTTGTACCCACCGGGTGGGTCCCAGGCTACTGGCTGCTATCCCCAGTTGAAGTGATATTTATGAGACTCCTTTCCTTACGGCTCCGTGTTCCACAATGCCTCGCACCTGGACAGCAAAAGGGAGAATCAGACAAAGAATCTGAGTTAAGAACAAGCGTTAAACAGAGGTTTGCACGATTCTGGGCTCTGCTAGGAGTAGGGGTGGGGGAGGGAAAGGAGAAGCTGCTTCCTTTGGGTTTTCCTGATTGAGAAGGTCGAAGAATGAGCCACCAATGTTGTCCTGAAAAGCCAAAGGTTGATGTCTATCCAGCTAAAGCCATGTCCTCCAATCCTTGTAACCTGGAACACCAACAGGGGCCAGGATGACATGCCCCTCCACTCCTCTTCCAACAGTGCAACTTAAATGCTGCTTATCCTGACACTGAGTATTCCCAGGACCCCTCCCGCTGCTGCCCTGCGTCCATCATGGGTCCTCTTCCTGGGGACTCCATCCATCCCCAGAGTCATGCAAAGACCACTTGTTCTACAGCACACACCCTCTGGTCAGCTGCCTGCTCATTACCTCCACCCTGGCATTGGACAGGTGTCTGCTCAACCCAACCACACTCATCCTCACTCCTGGTGGCCTTCTTCTGCGCTATTTCTTACCTGGAGTCTGGCAGCTTTACCTAGACACACAGTAACTCAACTTCTGGGAGGTTTTTCTGGTCTGGCTACTGTGGCTATTTGCCCACATCCTACCAGCTCTCCAGCTGCCTTTTGGCTTTGCATATGCCACTCTGATTCATGGTTTCCTCAAACCATTGCTTCCTGTTTCAAGCTAACTCTCACATGAGAACAAAGCCCAGACAATTCCTGCAGGGACAAGAGGCCCTTCCTGACCAAGCCCTGGGCTGCCTTCCAGCTTCTCACCCAGCTTCTCACCAGTTTGAGCTGTCTGTAGTTTCTCCTAACAGCTCTCTCCCGCTCCAGGTCCAAGCTAGTCTCCTTGCTTGATCTGCTTGGTCCCAGGGCTTGAGTAGCATCTCTCCATCAGGCCTCCCATGGCTCTGACTTAGCAGCTCCTCCTCTTAGAGGGGTCCATGTCACTCTGCAGAGCCTGGACCACGCCATAAATGACACTATTTCACTCCCTTCTTCGTGGTAGGACCTGTGGCTTCTGCCTCTGGCACCGTGCCAGGTTCTTAAGACATAGGATAAGCATCCCTTAAAGTTAAAGGGAGAAAGGAAACTTCTCAGTCTTCTTGAGAACTATGATGGGAAAGTCTTTTACAGTTGTTACTATTAAGGAGTAGTACAAAGGGGCTGCAGTTCCATAAGTCAGGTAACGAGTACAATGCTTCTTGGACAATGTTATGCTTTCTTTCCCTTTCTTCCATTTCCACCCTCCCGTCCTTGCTTATAAATTGCTTAGTTCACTTTTTGACATAAGAATATATTGAATATTATGATTGCATTTGTTCACCCTTCTTCCCTCTATTCCTGCACTCCTGTTTTGCCCCTCATAAAAGGACAAAAAAAAAAGGACAACAAAAATGAACAATTACACCACCACCAAGAACTACATTTCCATTTCCTGGAATTTGTTTATAGGAAGTGCTTTGGAAGTCCATAGGAGTTACACATCTGAGCTGTGCCCTTAAGTGTATCCTCTGTTGGTCTGTTTATTTGTGTGTGGATGCATAGAGCCCTGAATAAATGGTCATGTCCAGTTAAATTTTAGATCTAGCTTCTGTATATGGGAGAAAACATGAGCTGTTTGTCTCTCTGAGCTAAGCTTACTTCACTTAACATGATTTGTTCTAGGTTCATCCATTTCCTTGCAAATGACATGATCCTATTTTTTTGAATGGATGAGTAAAGTCCCACTTTGTTTTCCACATATCCCAGTGTGCCTGTGGGATGCATAGAAGGACCAGGTCTCTGTGGACTGCCTTGTCTTCCACAGGTGCTCCCAGGGCCAGATTTCTTAGAATTCCTTGGCCTGCCTGTCACCAGTCAACTCTGCTTTTCTCTGAGGAGTAGAGCATCTGGCTGCTGTCCATGCACTGGTGACCAACAAGAACCGGGGCATCTGTGCCAAGTTTGGGGTGAAGAAGGTGGAGAGCCAAGTGTTGACTGCCTGAGGTACTGGAAGTCAGAGTGGATGGTGACCCACAGTGTTTGTCTGGCTCTTTCAAGGAACTTGGGGCAGCAAATGTAGTTCATTATGGAGCACAGCTGAGAAGCCATCATCTGTAAGGGGTGGAAGGGGTTGACTGAGTACAGTCAGCAACAGCCAGTGCCAGTGTTTTGTGCTGTTTCCGAGAACAGAACTGCAAAGACAGACAGGCAAAGGGATGATGGTCCCCTAACTCCACTTTCTTGGCAATTTGGCTATCAGTGGGTTAAAACAGTCTTTGATCCTGACAGAAATGAGGAGAATGTGCGTTTTCTCCACTTGGATGCAAGATGGAACCATACCACCAAGAAGCCAAACCATTTCCTAGGAAGAGGACAAGCACTTGCCTTGTACGTGATGTCGTGTGTGAATGTTTTTCTTGGGGTTTAAACTTCTTTGCTCCTCTAGTTGTCAGAACTATTTCTGCTATTTCCAGAATTTCCAAACCCTGGTTTTGTCTGAAGTGACTCACTGGAGTCAGCTCTCTGAGTGGTTTACACTGAGGAGAAGACACGATTGCCAGCATGTGACAGGGATTAAGGTGGTTTTTATTTTTTTCCTGCTGAAATTCCTTAAAAAACTCCATCATGATTTTTTGAAAGATAGAGCAAAAGGAATTAACCATTGAATCGTGCATGGCAATTAAAAAGCAATTCATCTGTTATAACCATATATTTACGTATTTTGTTCAGTGGAGAAAGTATAGGGATTGTGAAACTCAGAGGATTAGAATTGGTGGTAGATGTAGAAAGTAAACCTTGACTAGAATTGATTCCTTGGATTATGATCGTTTTTTAACTTCAAATTTTGTTAATTTAAGATTCCTACTTTTATCTACTTATATAAAATTAGAGTAAGTTATAGTTTGCATCCCCAAAGTGGTTTTTAATTTACAAAATTAACTCATACACAAAAAATGTGATCTGCTTGAGCATTAATAAATTGCATCAATTCTAAGGAGAATTACATTTAGGATAATATGGGTGACTGCCCACAGAATTTTCTAAGTGCAGCTGTCAGAATAGCAAATAATTCTGCAAATAATTGCTGGCCCTGGGCTCTGTCCCTCAGCCTCTCTGTGTTCTAAGCTAGCTAGTGTTCTACCACTTGAGCCACAGAGCCACTTCTGGCTTTTTCTGAGTGGTTCATTGGAGGTAAGAGTCTCACAGACTTTCTTGCCCAAGCTGGCTTTGAACCGTGATCCTCAGATCTCAACCTCCTGAGTAGCTAGGATTACAGGCATGAGCCACAGGAGCCTGGCTTGGAATTGCTAGTTAGAACACACTGAAGGATTGGGTTCAAGCTTGGCAACCAACCACTTATTGAAGTTTATTCAGTTTAACATTCGACAGTGCATAGTGACTAGCAAAGGTGAAGCAAAAGCAACTAGATGTTGCTCTGTCATTCTTTTCTTACCCTCCAGAAACCTAAGTTGGGACTTCCTTGCTCAGAGGGGCAGTACAGCATAAGAGTCCCTCAGGCTCTGGGTTCAAATACTCCTTTAGCTTCTTTTACTGTGAGATCTTGGGACTTAACTTCTCTACATCCTAATTCCCTTATCAATAACCTCTTCATAGGTTTGTTGGATGATTATGTCCATTTGTGTAAGTGTTTTAGGATCATGTGGTAGATTCTCAGGAGGTATGAATATTATTATCAACGCTACTCACCCTTCTCAAGAATTTGCATGACTGGCAGGCCAGGGGCTCATGCCTATAATCCTAGCTACACAGGAGGCTGAGATTGGAGGACTATGGTTCAAAGTCAGCCCAGGGTGGAAAAATCTCAGATATTCTTATGTCCAATGAACCAGCCAAAAGCCAGAGAGTACAGATGTGGCTTCAGTGATAGAGTTTGAGTTCAAACTCCACAAGAAAAAAAAAAGAAAGAAAGAAAAAGAATGTGCCTGAAGTGCATAGACAATAGCTTAGTTTCATGACCTCTTTTTTTTTTTAAATACACTTAAACACGCTTCATTCCTTAGAGCCAGCAATTTTCAGTGGAGCCGAAATTATTTAGATAAAATATCTTTTCTTCCTGCTGTAGCCTAAACGGCTCAAAAGAACAACATGAGACTAAAGGGGGGGGGCGGGGGACGTGTGTGGGGAAGGGTTTGGAGCAGTCTGGCGCTCCACGGCCTGTCGGAAGCACCAGGGAAGGTAACTAGGAAATCAGAGCTCATTGTGCGTCCATCAGATGCTTGTCTGCTCCACCAAACAGATGGCTATCAGCCGCCCACAGCCCACTCCTGTTCCTCTCTCCGCCTGGTCATTTCCTTTAGGGAGCCTGGCTGTAAGAACCACCCCATGCTTCTCAGGATGATAGGTTTTTAGGTCAAACAGAAACCCTGGGGAATGCCTACAAACAGCCAAACAAGCAGTTCCATTCTGGCCGGGCTGGCTGACGTGTTAGCCCCTCTGGTGCGCACAGCCGGAGCTGTGGAGCTCAGACTTGTGTGACATTCCCTTCCTCAGCCAGATTCCAGCCTCCTGTGGCCTAGGGATCTGGGCTCAGCTGTTGCAGCTGAAGCTACAGGGCTCAGAGAGACACCCCCCCACAAAGCCAGGGGTCCCCACTCCCCAGATCCTCTGGGAAGCCTCGGCCCTGGCCCACCATGGAGGAGACACAGGAGCCTCCGGCCATGACTGTCCATCTCCTTGCTGATGCTGGCCACGGCTGGCTTCTTCAGCAGGCTCTGGACCAGCTCCTGGATCACATCTGCCCAGAGGTGCGTCTCTTCCAGGTGTCGGAGCGGGTCCGACCGGTGAAGTACTATGGAAAGAGCCATCCCCGGCGCTGTGAGTTCCCAGGGATGTCCGTGTGGCTCTTCCTGGACGAACGCCTGGGCCAGGAGCGGCTGTGCCACGTCCTGGACTCCCTGCAGTGCGCGCCCTGGCGGTGTCTCCCAGCCCAGGGCCGGCCCTGCCCTTACCTCCCTGCCAAGCAGGAGATCTACAGCCTGGACAGCCAGATGCCCACGTGGAGCGTGAGGCAGTGCCGGGACGGCCCCGAGATCCTCAGGATCACCCTGCACTGCGGGTTTGATAACTACGAGGACGCCATCCGGCTCTACGGGATGATCTTGCAGCGCGAGGCCACCGTGCAGAAGAGCAGCGTCTGCTTCTTTGTGCTCTATACCACCCCCAGCTTCGCTCTGCAGCTCTCCCTGAAGCAACTGCCCCCCGGAACCTCGGTGGACCCCCAAGAGTCATCGGTGCTGCAGTTCAGGGTTCAAGAGATCGGCCAGCTGGTGCCTCTGCTGCCCAACCCCTGTGTGCCCATCAGCCGCACCCGCTGGCGCACCCAGGACTACGATGGCCACACGATTCTGCTGCAGGTATGTCTTTGTGACTTAACGATGTCGTTTGTGCAGGCGCTTGGAACTGTGGGAGCTTGTGGTGGGGGATTCTGGGGCTTGAACCAGGGCCTGGGTGCTGTGTCCCATAGCTTTTTACGCTCAAGGCTGGTGGTGCTCTACCACTTGAGTCACCCTTCCACTCCCAGCTTTTTGGTGGTTAAGTGGAGAGGTGAATCTCATTGACTTTCCTGCCTGGGCTGGTGTTTAACAGTGACCCTCAGATCTCAACCTGTTGAATAGCTGGGATTACAGGCGTAATTCACTGTGTGATTGAATATCTAACCAGGTCTTGTGGATGGATGTCAATCCTGGTTACATTTTGGAAGTCCCAGGAACTTTTGCACTTTTCCACACACAGCTGAACCTCCGATCAGTTAACCACCATCCTTTGAGGGAGACCCAGAGGGGTTTCAAACAATCATGTCAGCATTGACACGATTGTAATATTAGTTGAGGGGCCCCAATCTGATTTAAAAACAAAACAAAACAACAACAAAACACCTCCTCGTGTACAATAAGAAAGTTCTGACTTGGTGAGCTTGAACCTGAAAAGCAGTTGGTAATAGAGTCAAACAATGCTCTCTCCTGAGATTGCATTGAACACATCTGCCAACCATCTATATTTTGTCCAAGCCATGGTAAGAAGTATAATGAACTCTTCCCACCAGACCTAAGGAACTTCAGTTTAATCTGTATTTGGGGAAAGTTGAGTTTGTAGTATTATCAACTTCATTTTTAAGCAACTCATATCACTGTCAATATTTTTAAATCACCAATCAAGTTAGATGGCTAGAACCCCTTTAAAAATATCTTGAAATTGTACCTCCTTTTGTAACCTTCAAAAGTTCCGTTGAAGTTCATTTCCCTGGGTGTGTGCGTTTAACTATGACCGCTGCTTTGCACTATCCCCTTGTGGGGTGGGAGGTGTCAGCTGAGCTCTTACCAGTGGTATGACCTGGGCCTCAGTTTCCCTATCAGCTCAGGGCTGAGCTCTTTCATTAGATGACCACTGGCATCTTGCTATAACAAAGGTGATTATCTACAGGAAGTGTTCTGACACAAAACACATCTTTAAGACAGGGCCCAGAACTCAGTTTCAATCATTGCAGCTCATATTATGCCCTACATTAACATTATAAAATGAATAATTTTATTTAATCCTTATAAAACCTTACGATGTTCCTATGTCTTCCTATTTGCCAGGTGAGAAATAGGTGTGCAGAGCTCAGTTACTTGTCTGAGTTAACAGTTAGAATGTGTTTCTCAGGCCTGGAAGTCTATGTGGTTAACAATTGTAGGCCAGGTATGGTGACTCACACTTGTAATCCCAACTATGTGAGAGGTGGATGTAAGAAGAACACTGTCTAAGTCTGGCCCTGGGCAAAAGGGAGACCCTGTTTTAAAAGCAAGCAAGCAAGCAAGAAAGAATGAATGAAAGAAAGAAAGAAAGAAAGAAGAGAGCTGGGATGTGCCTCAAATGCTTGTCTAACAAGAGCAAGACTCTGATTTCAAACCCAGTGCTGCAAAGACAGAGAGAAGGGGGGAAGGGAGAGAGAGATTGAGGGGGGAAGGAAGGAAGAAAATTTCAGTCCAGTCAGCTGTGTATGTGCATATAAATGTGTTCACAGTGTTAATAAGAAAATATCCCAAGAGAAATGATTAGAAACCCCCTTTTCAGTCTATCAGATAAAGTTATAGCAAGCTAAAAAGTAATGGCAAGCTGTCCTTCTCTTCAATTCTGTCTCAGTTAATAAAGCAAGACTCCTACTGATTCCTTTACGTGACTTCAGAATTGTTTGCCTGTGGAAAAGGTGGATACGCATCCTCTCCTTCACATGTCTGTTATGTCTCCTTTCTAAGGCATCTGAGGTTTCTCCTTCAGTGTTAGTCTCCAGAGTCTAATGTCAACATCGCTGGCAAATAACAATGTAGTGTGTGCGTGCATGTGTGTGCGTGTGTGCGTGCATGCGCGTGTGTGTGCACATGTGTGCGTGTGTGCGTGCGTGCATGTGTGTGTGTGCGTGTGTGTGCGTGTGTGCATGCGTGCATGTGTGTGTGTGTGCGCATGTGCCTGTGTGTTTATGCATTTGTGCAGCAGAAAGCATTATTTGATTTATTCCTTCTTTAAAGGATTCACCATGTTTCCTTCGCAATCACAGTCCACACCATTAGGTTCCTTGTAAAGTCAAGGCACATCTGGGGAGCGTTGGACAAAGGGAAAAACCCATGAGATGTACAAGAGCCCCATCCCCTAGGGCCGCCCCCTCTCACCCTTGCCCCGCCCCCCCAGGCCCCTAAAAGTCTCCCCAAACATTTATGTTCTTCCCTGCTCTGAAGCTGGACCTCCATCCCCTCTCCTTGACATCTCTGTGTCCACGACGTTATGTTTTTGCCAAGAGAATGAGGGATCGTCATCTGGAAAGTTCTTCCCTGCCTCGCCAAGCTCCTCCCCAGACCCCCCATCGCTGGCTCGCCAAGCTCCTCCCCAGACCCCCCATCGCTGCCTCGCCAAGCTCCTCCCCAGGCCACCCATCGCTGGCTCGCCAAGCTCCTCCCCATCGCTGGCTGAGCTGGCTGGCCAAGCTCCTCCCCATCGCTGGCTGAGCTGGCTGGCCAAGCTCCTCCCCATCGCTGGCTGAGCTGGCTCGCCAAGCTCCTCCCCATCGCTGCCTCGCCAAGCTCCTCCCCATCGCTGCCTTGCCAAGCTCCTCCCCATCGCTGCCTTGCCAAGCTCCTCCCCATCGCTGGCTGAGCTGGCGTGGCTCTTGCTTGCACGTCCTTCTCTCGTAACTGCCCCGTCTGCCATGGACTAATGGAGAGCCCTACAACACTCCTGAGAACAAGCTGTAACGTTCTGTCTTTACAAAAGAGGACCCACCTAAGCTTGTCGGATAAAAGGTTTTATTGCGATTTCTATGTGCATGCATATGAGGTACTTTGGCCAAATCCATGGCCTCTCTATTACCTTTACTTAAGACCCTCCCTTGCTCCCCCTCCTTTCAGAAAGATGGTCTCATTGTGCCATTTTTATACCTATACATGACATACTTGGAACAAATTCATCCTCCATCACCTCTCCTTTGCACCCTCCGCTGCCCACGGTTTTCCCCCAAATAGCCCCCCTTCTTACAATTATGTCATCCTATTATTATTACTAGTATGATTACTGTTTGGTCTGCACAGGAGTGAAAGATGCGCTATTTCTTCTTCTGGGTTTGGCTCATCTTGTTTGACATGATGATCTCCAGCTCCAGTCATTCTCCTCCGAATGACATGGCTGCATCTTTTTTCCCGCTGCATAATACTCGACTGAGTCTGAGCAATGTCTTCCTCATCCATTCACCAGATACTGGGCCGACTCTGCACCCTGGTGATGGTAAAGAGCGTCCCTATAAACATTCCATGTTTATAAACATGGATGTGCAGAGCTGTCTCTTGTGTGAGAGATCTATGCCCAAGAATAGCACCGCAGGATCATATTGTAGTTCTAGTTGCCATTTCTGGAGGAACCTCTGTACTTATCTCCATAGTGATTCACTAACTTACATTCCTACCAACAATGCGTAAGGACTCACTTGTTTTTTCTTCTGCATCCTTGCTGGCATTTGTTGTTAGTTTTCTTGGTGATGACTTGTGACAGACGGGATGGAATCTGAGCGCCAATTTGATTCGCATTTCTTTTATGGCTAAGGGTGTCAAGCATTTGTTCAGATGCTTACTAACCATTGGAGAGCTGTTGGTTCAATTCTTGTGCCCATTTATTAGTTGGATTATCATTCTTTTGGTATTCAATATTTAGAGCTCTTATATTTTCTGAGTACTAATTTTTTGTGTGAGAAATAGCTTGAAAATATGTTTATCTTGTTCTTTGGCTTGTCTGTTCATTCTGCTAATTGTTTTGTCTTTGCTTCAAAGAACTTTAAAGCAAATCCATTTGTCAATTATTCCTCCTATTTCCTGAGCTAATATGTGTGTGTGTGTGTGTGTGTGTCTGTCTGTCTGTCTATCATCTATCTATCTACCTACCTATCTATCTATCTATATTGATTGATCTGTCTTTTTTTCCAGTCCTGGGGCTTGAATTCTGGGCCTGGGCACTGTTCCTGAGCTTTTTGCTCAAGGCTAGTGCTCTACCACTTGAGCCACAGCCTTACTTCCAACTCTTTCTCTGTATCTGGTACAGAGGAATCGAATCCAGGGCTTCGTGCATGATAGGCAAGCACTCTACCACTAAGCCACATTCCTAGCCCCTGTCTATTTATCTTATGATTAGTAATATGTATGTAGAGTCCTTCTGTACTGCATTTTTTTTTGCCAGTCCTGGGGCTTGAACTCAGGGCCTGGGCACTGTCCCTGAGCTTCTCTGGCTCAAGGCTAGCACTCTACCACTTGAGCCACAGCACCACTTCTGGCTTTGTCTGAGTATTTTATTGGAGATTAGAGTCGCACAGACTTTTCTGCCTGGGCTGGCTTTGAATTGTGATCCTTAGCTCTCAGCCTCCTGAGTAGCTAGGATTACAGATATGAGCCACAGGCACCCAGCTTTTCATTTCATTTCATTTCATTTTAATTTTATTAGGGATTTGGCCAGGCATAGATCCTGAATACCAAAATTTGTTCTGCAGACTGTTAGCGAGATGGAGAAAACTATCTTTTCCAGAAATCTTCTGGGAGAACACAAGGGGTAGGGCATGAAGCTCTGGAGTCCCAGGACAGAAGGTGTACCCATGAGCGCCACCCTCTGGAGGGAGCTGGAAGCTACCTGCAGGCTGGGAATTTTGCTGAATGAGCTGAATAATGTTGGAACCAAAGTAAAAATGCCTCTGATTAAAATACCGAGTTTCTACAGCTACTTCTTTTTTCTGCATCCACAGCCTCTACTCTACACAAATGACACTCACAAATATATAAGGGATATTTGTTTTTAGAAGATTCCAGATTACTGGCCTGCTTGGAATGTCCACACATCTTAGAATAACCTAGGAGATACGACATTATTTCAGCTTTGAAAGCTTAGATTCTTATTCCAGTCCTTAACTGTAACCTCACATCTAAGGCTTTAAGCTTTTTGTGCATTGGCAGTGTATCGTTTGTAGCAGTCAGCGAGGTCATCAAACAGTAGCGATGCGCATCTTTTCATCGTGGCTATGAGATCTCTCAGCAATTCCTGGAGTCTCGCCTTGTCCACAAGTTAATGGAGGGAAATAAGCTGTGTGGAGTGGATGCTGATTGTATAATCAGATTGACCTGCCACCTCAGTTCATCTCACTACTGAGCCTGCCCCGGGTGTGGTTTGGCCGGGGATGAGTAAGGCATTGGGTGATACTTGATTAATTTTTAAAGTAAGTTCCATTTCTTTCTCCTTTCCTGACTCATAGGTCCAGCTGAGTCCAGGCCCTGGTGTTGAGAATGGTGAACTTTCCTTTCTTGGCGCCCTGGGATCCAGGCTGGCCTCTGGGTGTGCACAGAGACCCATGGAATGGAGGACCCAGAGGAGCCGGAGCAGGAGATTCAAGGTGCGCTCTCTGGAGTTTCCAGAGCCCAGGGGCACTGCAGACAGCTCGGATGGCCCTTCGTGGAGGAGCCCGGGCCTGGCCTCCCAGGTGAGCAGCTCAGCCACGAGCAGCTGGCCGCACCTGCCTCCACACGTCCTCAAACCTGCATGGGGAATGAATGAAGATGGCTTCCAGAAGCTCGAGGCAGAGACAGATGTAGACACGGGATTCACCATCATCAATCCGGAGCCTGTAGTGAACAGCTTGTCAAAGGACTTGGAAACCAGGCTGCCTCCATCTTGTCCAGAGGAGGCCACCTCCCTGCGTAAAGCAGCCCCGGATGTAAGAGTCTGCCCTTTGTCCCTTGCTGGCCCCAAGGAGCTTGGAGCAAGGAAGATCATCTCCACGTGTTCCCATCGTCTGCCAATCCAGGGTGAAGAAAAAGAAGAAGAAGAATTCTTTATATAGCCTAAAACAAAGGCCTTTTCTATATTAGGTTGGATAGGGTGGGGACATGGAGCCTGAGTCCAGAATCTTCTTGTTCTTGGTCTGAGTGCTCGCCCTGTGTAGGGCTATATGGCTTTCACTTCAAACGTTCAAAGCCCACAGATACTGAAGAGACCGCTGCCCTGACCATAGGCAAACACAGCCAGGGCCGGTGGCTGCGTTTCCTGGGAACACGCGGACCCAGCCGCAAGTGTTGCGGTCAGCATCTGTCAGCATACGTGCACTGTATGCAGATGAGCTGGATGCATTATACATCAGTGATTAGCATTTGTAATTTGGTCTTCATTTCCACTTGGCTTTGCAGAGTTTATCCCCTGGACAGCACGGACTACTTATTCTTCAGTGCTTTTTAATTTTTATGTGACCTCCTTTGGAAAGTAGGCCAGCCCTGTTCACCACGTCGCCTCCTGTGATTTCTGCCTTGAAATGTGCTTGCATCTGCAACAAATGGAAATTCAAAGTGTTTTGAAAATGATCAACAATGTTGGATTTTTTTTTCTGTTTAATGAGCAGAAACATTGGCAGCCAGGAAATCAGGTTAACATGCACGCTAGGCTCTCGAGTGTTGTGTTTCTATCTCCTGGATTGCATGCTCTTGACCAATCAGCAGGTCTTGCTACAAACCAAAAAAAAAAAAAAAATCCCTAGCCTATGGGTAATGTGAGATCTCTGCTAGGCATATTATGTGAATTGGACTGGCTGGGTAATGGCATAGGATCTGGATTCTTTTGACCATATTTAAATACCGAAAGTCCTTTGCAATACTCATCACTCATCCATTTATATTTATATATATTCACTTAATATTTTATGGAACACTTCTGCTTGAACAAGGTGTTTGTTGTATATATGGTAACTCTATGTTCTGTGCCTATCCTGCCCATATAATACTTCCCTCTTCCCTTCCTTCCTTCCTTCCTTCCTTCCTTCCTTCCTTCCTTCCTTCCTTCCTTCCTTCCCTCCTTCCTTCCTCTTTCTTTTCCTTTTTTTCCCTCAGTGCTAGTGATCAATTCCAAACTTCCAGAATTTTCACAAGTGCTCCATCACTGAGCCACCTGCCTAGACCCCAGCTGGCTCTTCTAAGACCTGAATATTTAGATCCAAAGATTTAGTCCAGGTCTGAAGACAGATCCTATAAAAGCAAGTGTAGGCTGGGATTGTTCAGAAAGCTCATAGGAATGAGATTTCTTAGGGCTGAGGCAGGGGCTCCAGTGGTAGTGCGCCTGCCTAGCAAGATATACCCGAGCTCAGAACTTACACTGCTAAAGAAAAAAGAGAATATTTTAAAATGGACAAAAATGAAGCTTCTGCATTTGTTTTCTTCTGTTCATAAAGAACAAGTATATTTCCATTTCTATTTTCTCTCTTCCAGATTAAAACTTGAGCTCAGAAAAATAGAATGAATAACTTAATTTTGGTATAGTTTCCTATGACAGGGTTTACAAAATATCTTATTTCAGTTGGACTTTGAGTTGGGAATGGTAGAGCTGGGGGGAAGTTTTAGCATATCATTCTTACTTTTCCTTTTTACTGTTGTCTGAATGTCTTTCACACAATACCTGAGTGAGAATAACTAAATGGAAATCATAAAGAGTATTGAGAAATTTGAGCAAGTACCTTATGAAATTGACTTGTAAAGTAAGACACTCTTAACATGCCACCTACTCTAGCCTACAGAATGCTAAAATCCAAATTGCCATATCATGCATTGGAAAGGACAGTGAACTGTGTGGGAGTGTGACTTTGAACATGCCAGGCTCCTCTGGAGTCTGGGTACTGGAACAAAGGTCATTAGGAGAATCAAGGTGATACTCCTGAAACCTTGTAGATATTACTAAGCACTATAAATGTGGAAGAGAGATTTTACTGTTATTGTCTCAATTTATTATATATTGTGTTAGTACTATAATTGGCCCTTCAGACCCACAGTTTAAAAATGTCACGAAGATGGTTTTCTTTTATAAGTTTTCGCAGGATCAATGAAACAGTAAAACCATAAATCCACCTCCCTAATTCTTTTTAGTACTTGTGCCATTATTTATGTTCCTGTATCTCAGAGGAAGATTATGTATAGCAAAGATCAAATACATCCTGAAACTGACTAAAACAGAGATGGAATAAGAATGAACTAGGACTGATTTAATACAGTTTATCAAATTAGGTTTCACTATAGTTATATTTTATTGCCTAAAATGTAAAATGTATCACCTGTTAAACCTGAGAGTCGCTTAATAATCAGAATATTTTATTTCTCTTTATAGGTATATTAAAAATCAGCTGTATTGTAATTGATTAGCCACTTCCAACTTTATTAATAGTATTTTACACTTTTTTGCACGCATCATTTGGACATTGTTAAGCACGAACAGAATAATAATATTTGGAAGCTTGTGAAGGTATTCGTCAGCAGAAGTAGAGTGAGGGACGTTAAGATTTGGGGTGACCAGGGTGAAGACTCAGAGATAGAGATTTACTTGATTCATGCCAGCAGGTGGCGCTGTTGCCCTAGCTTCCCATCTGCCCCCTGGTCTCTCCTACTCACCCATCCTCAGGGCCAATTCCAGTTACACAGGAAGAGGCATTGGTGGGAAAAGGCCTTTCTTCCCGCCCCAAACTCGGGGTTGGAGCCACATACAGCACACACTGTGTTTCCCGTTGATTAACAAAGTTTCATTTCCAGGACACAAAATGTCTAGAAATTCCTGGAACAACTCAATACTGCCTGCTGTTCTAGTACTTTCTCCAAGGCTTCTCAGTCTTTGGACTCTGTGTCTGCTGTTTCTTCTTTTTCCTCCTTATCCCTTTCCGGCGGCTCCTGTTTCCTGTTCTTTTTCAGGTGAGCTCTTTCACCCCTTCACCTGCCTAACTGGGCAGCGCCTCCCTCCTGGCTACTTCTCTTTAGTTTGGGAACACCCCTGCCAGTCCTTTGCCTGCTCCTTCTCTTCCCGGTTTCTTCTCCCAATCCGTGGGCTTTCTATTGATCTTGCTAGCTATGTCCTTTGCCATGCAGAAGCTCTGCAGCTTCATGCCATCCCATTTGTTCAACCTTTCTTTGATTTGTTGTGTTTCTGGGTCTTTATTAAGAAAATTTCAGCCGGTGCCAAGGAGACCTAGAGTTTCTCCTATTCCTTCCTGTAATGTTTTCAGGGTGTTTGCTTTGACTCCAAGGTCTTTGATCCATTTGGAGTTGATTCTGGTGCAGGGTGATATATAAGGATTTAGCTTTAGGGGCTGGGAAGGTGGCTCAGTGGTAGAGTGCTTGCCTTGCATGCATAAGGCCCTGGGTTCGATTCCTCAGCACCACATAAGCAAAAAGAAAAAAGCCGGAAGTGGCGCTGTGGCTCAAGTGGTGAAGAGCTGAGGGACAGCGCCCAGGCCCAGAGTTCAGGCCCCATGACCGGACCCCCCCCCCAAAAAAAGGATCTAGCTTTAGTTTTCTACAAGTGATTAACCAATTTTGCCAGCACCATTTACTGAAGGGGCTGTCTTTCTTCCATTCTAGTTTTTTAGCTCACTTATTGAAGATTAGGTGGCTGTTGGTCTGCGGGTTTATTGCTGGGTCTTCAGCTGTATTCCATTGGTCCTCAGGTCTGTTCTTGTGCCAGTACCAAGCTGTTTTGATTACTATGGCTTTGCAGTAGAGTTTGAAATTTGGTATTGAAATTCCTCCAGCACTATTCTTTCTGCTAAGGATCGTTTTTGCTATTCAGGGTCTTTTATTGTTCCATGTGAATTTTGGGGTTGCTTCTTCCATTTCATTGAAGAATGAGGTTGAGATATTGATGGGTATCACACTGAATTTGTAGATAGCTTTTAGCAATATGGCCATTTTCACAATATTGATCCTCCCAATCCAAGAGCATGGGAGGTTTTTCCACTTCCTTAGTTCTGCTTTAATTTCCTTTTTCAGGTTTTTAAAGTTTTCGTCGTAGAGGTCTTTTACTTCTTTAGTTAGGCTAATTCCTAGATATTTTATTTTTTGTGGGGCTACTGCAAAAGGAGTTGCTTTCCTGATTTCATCTGCGCTCTTCAGAAAAGCCATTAATTTTTGAGGGCTAATTTTATACCCTGCTACTTTGCCAAAGTTTCAGATCCGCCGAAGTAACTTGGGAGTGGCATCTGTGGGGTTCTTCCTCTCCTGGGGTCTGAGACTCCTCCGCCTATTCTACAGCACGTCCACGTGCCAGCCCCAGGCTGCTCTGGGTTTCCCTGCCCTGGCCAGCGAGGCTCAGCTGGGGGAAAAGGGAGTTTTGAGGGTTTAAAGGGATCAAAAACACCATCAAAGTCGAGAGAGACATGCAAAGATCACCCCAGAAAGGCTGTGGACACTCTTGTCCCAATGCCTGGGAATTCCTGTGGTCACAGACTGGGCTAGATTTCCGCCGCTATGCATCATGGTTCTTTTCATCTCTCTTGCGTCAGACTGCAGGTGAAGTTTAGAACTGCCTGTCTTTTTGCAATTAACAAACCAAATTAAGGCGCACTGAATCGCAGCAGAGTTTGATTTTTATGAGCTGTAGTTGATTAGCTTTAAATAAAAATTAAGCGGGGCACTGGTGGCTCACACCTGAAAACCCTGGCTATTCAGGAGGCTAAGATCTGAGGATTGAGGTTCAAAGCCAGCCTGGGCAGAAAAGTCCACGAGACATGTCTCCAACAAGCTACTCAGAAAAAGCTGGGAGTGGCGCTGTGGCTCAAGTGATAGAACACTAGCCTTGAGCACAAAGAGGCTCAGGGACAGCACCTAAGCCCTGAGTTGAAGCTCCAGCACTGGCAAATAAATAAGTAAATAATAAATAAATACGGGCACAAATTTGCCACTAGAGGGCACTATTGTAATACAAACTAAATTACTCTGGATTCTCTGTGTGTGTGTGGGGGGGGGGGGTGATTGGGGAGAAAGTTGCCAAAAGAAAACACCATAGATATTTAATTTTTTTAAATTTCTATTTATTTCTATT